GGCTGCGTATGGGGCCACGCTGTTCTGCACTGACTCACAGCCCCCAAATAGTTCCCGGCGCTTTTCCAGCCCTACAAACACTGACAGCTGCTTTAGGGCTGCGTTTCTCTATGGAACCCCATGGGGTGACACCGAGCTGGGGGGAGCCAGCACCCCCAGGTTTGTCTTTGCTGATGGGGCTGCAGCTGAACCCCGGTGTCCCCACCTCCCTCTGGTTGTGTCCAACCCCAGAGCTCCCCTTTTCTCCCTGCAGATCCCTGCTGCATCTCGCATTGCTCCCAGCACAGAGCTCCTATGCAGTGCAGTCCCAGCTCTGCACCCCACCTCCCCGCTGCCCCTCTCCCCCTGTTGCACATCCACATCCCTTCCGTTCCTGCAGTGCTGGGGTTTGACCTCTGAATTTCCCCCCTCCATCTGCCAAGCACCGCTTTATTGCAACCCCAAAGGCTTTGCTGTGAGTCCCAGCAATTCCTTCGCCTCAGCCCAAGGTCAGAGCGCACAGAGATGCACACGGTGCTGCACCCACCCCTTCCTCCCCCCCTCCCCATTTCCCTATTCCTGCAGCAGAAAGCAGAGGCCGAGCAAAAACTGCCCTCCAATTAACACGGAGTGCATGCAAGGAGCTTCCGACGCAGCGATGCGATGGGAAAATAATGGGCGCCGATGGGGGAGGGCTCTGCAAAACTGCAGTGCAACGACGGGAGCAGAGCTGGGTGCTGTGTTGGTGGGTTGGTGCTGTGGGCTGCACATGTGGCATTGCATTCACAGCACAGCGAGTGCTGCTGTTGCATTTTGCCCAGAGCAGCAGCTTTGCCCCCAGCAGGGTGCAGCTTGGGGAGGGGGGGGGCATCCATGGGTAGCAGGAGATGGGAAGGAGGGGGGGTGTCAGCATCCTACGGGTCAAAATCAGCTCTATCAGTGGACAGAGGGAGAGCTTCGCACCCAAAGCTCGCAGCATCGCTGGTTGGCATCAGGGGGTGATGGAGGGCGGGGGGGGAGGGGGGTTCGCTGAGCTGCTATGGGGCAGCGCTGCTCCCGGAGGATCGGGGCTTTGCTGGGCCGGCAGCGACACTCGCTGGAGGCGGACAGCAGAGCTGCAGGCTGCCCTGCTGCAACCGGAGCGTTGCATTGCACCCTGAATGCTGCAACCCGGCTGCTGCATCCTGCCCTGCCGCAAAGCTGCCCCGCATCTCCGTCGCAAAGCCACGGAAGCGCCTCCCAGAGCTTCATTGGGAGACGGAGGGCAGCGATTAACGAGGCTGCCGTGGAAAGGAATGCAACACGAGGGAAATTTTGCACGGAGGGGTTGGGAGGTGGGGGGGCAGCAGCAGCAGATGGAGGATCCGAGTGGGGCACAGCACCCCCCCAGCCCCCCAACCACACAGCCTCCCCACCCCCAAACCCCACAGTCACCCAGCATCCCGGCTGAACCCCAAATCCCAGCCCCCAAAACACTGCTCTCACCCCCCTGACCCACTCCCAACGCCTCTCATCATCCCCCCCAGACTCACAGCCCGCCTTATCCACCTCCAAAGCCCAGACCCCCTTTAACCCATCCCCCAAACCTCACAGACCCCTCACCCCCCATTCCAGCACGAATCCCCGCACACCCCATATC